ATTCCATTCCACGCAAGATTTGTGCGACTCTTTGCCCCCTTACAGTTGCGTCGCACGGCCAACTACTTCCTATACCACCCGCATACCAAAAACGACGACGACAATAAGCTTGAAAATTTGCTTCGTGTGCGCAGCACGTCTCTCATACCACACGTGCACGTGTCCTTTCTTTACTTATCTCTTTTTTTGTTGTTGTCGACTTTTGCTTTACTTTTTTCTCACATGGATTTGATCCGGGCTTTAACTTGGTCGAACGAACAATACGCATCCTCCGTTTGCAGTTCCAAAGCTACGGAACAATAAAAACTGCAGATTCTGGCTTTCGAATGCATTCGGTAAGCACAGAAGATGTGCTCTTCTTCGGCTCTTCTCCCAACTTCCCTTATTTTCTTGTTCTCCATGTGTCAGTCGAACAAATGGCCTTTTTTCCACACGCTGATTCATGTATCTGGAACTTCATTTATAAAAAAATCCCAACTCTCTTCTTGACAATTTTGAGGTTTTGAAAGAAAAAGAAGAAGTGTGACTAATTTTTTCACAATTTCGAAATTTTTACAGTGTTACAGCAGTTACTTTATTTGGGGATATTAAACTGTAGTTTATTTCACCTGTTTTTTTACTGTTGGATGAAAATATGGATACAAAGACGAGGTATCAGCTTTTTTTTCTTACTAATTAGCATAATTTTAAATTGCCTTGATTAAGCATTTTTTAACTACAAAATTATTTGACTGATGTAAATGCATTTGACGACATCAACGGACGTCATTGACACAGGTTTAAAATCATTAGAGGATGCAACTTATAGTGATCTCTAAATATTTTAAAATCAAACAGTACTGTTGACACCTGCAATTTGGTGTACAGCAGTAAAAGAGCTGTTAACGATTAATATTAAAAAAGAATCATCGTCTCGTCCCGTTCACAGTTGTAGACTTCAGATGAAAATGTGTTTCGGCTGTCAGAAGAGTACAAGATTGGACAACAACACACAAAATTGAAAACGAGGCGTATAAGACAAAATCATTTTTCACTCGAAGGTGACATGGTAAAATAATGTTCCTGCATTGCAGGCACGTTCTCTTCCTTCTCACGAATATACTGTGTAACAGACCGCGCGAACAATAAATCCTCAAACGAACTCAGCATATGTGGCGGATCCCCCGAGGGATTTTCTTCTGATGGATGGAAAAAAGAAACACCAATACTGAAATGTACGTTAAAATAAAAAAGAAAAAAAACGTGTATCACGTTAACAGAAAGTAGCTAGGCGTTAAAAATACAACGATTAGGTAATCAGAGCCAGATGCATGCTGATTAGAAGGCGAATTTTAGGCTCAAGAGTAGAATTTTGGGATTACATCAGATTAAAAATTTATAATTTTGTCTAGAATAATAGTCCAATGTAGACTAATGTATTCTCATGACGTGACCAAAAAGTGAGAAAGTCAGAGACTACGTATGATTTTTTTTTTTCCACAGTTATCTAACCTATGCTATTATACGAAAACTACATACCAAACCAACAATAATTATGAAGACTATGTGTGTGTTAAGGTTTTTGAAGTTTTTTTTTTTCGAAAAATGTAAAAAAAAAGAAAACGCGAGATGATTAGAGGGAAGCAGGCACGTGCAAATGAAAATTCGTTCAGCACAAATTTGACTCGATTTACTTTCGTTTGCTAAGCTTTTCTTTTGCCCCCAGCACTTCCTTCCCCGTAATCCATTCTCGATGAAGGTAAGCTTGAGATTATTACAAGGGGCGACCGAAGGAGCAAAGAAAGAAAGAGAAAGGGGAAATAATAACTTACGTTGGTAGTGCTGCGAGTATTTATTCCTTGCCTCTTTTCTCTTTCTCTACTCTCGCGTTTTTCTGTGTCCAGAAAATAGTTCGCTCTCTTGTCTGTGTGTGTGTGTGTGTGTGTTTGTATGTGTGTGGGTGTGTGTGTGTGTGTCTGTGCAGGGACAAAAAAGTGCTCGTCGGCCCGAACGAAGGAACAAGACTACACGATAATTCAACGAAGTGTGTAGCCACGGCTCCCCTGCTTTCCACCGACCATTTCTTTCAACTCCCACTTGCTCGTGTTCTATATCCCTCTTTCTCACCTACCACATGAATTTCAACAACAACGAGTTCGCCAAGCGGTTCTAGCGACCTCCCTCGTCCCTCCACATCACACCTCTCCTTTTTCTCCAACTTTTTTCCTCGTACCCCATCCTTTTTCGATCCACCCCCTCGGTCTTTCATTTTTTCTCACTCTTTTTCGTGAGCTCATGCGAACGCACGAATGGCTCGATCAATTTTCTCTATTTTTCATACAGATTTGGTAGTTTTTTTAATCATTTTTCGAACTCTGTGGTGTATACCCAAATGAAAATTCAGTTTCAATGTGAAATGTAGAACTGCTTGAAATCACTCAGCATAATAGTTTACTATAAGTACAAGATATCAGATTCTTAGTCTACAAGTAATCTTGATTTCCTTATTGTGTGATACGTACGATTTATTTCGCGTGAGATTATGGCCTTTGATAAATAATGTAAGTTTTCAGAAATGAAACTAGAGACTCGAACAATCGCACGGGTGGTAATTTGAAAACTACATGCACATCAATCTGTTGTAAAATGTACACATTTACGTGACTACATTCAAGCACATTTGAAGAACTGTGTACAAACAAAGTACTGTAACAACATGAAGACATTTATACACATGATTCTCGGTGTTCTTATATTTAAGCATATATACAAATCGTCTTTAAAAATATCGGGTAAAATTAAGAGGGACAATAATTTTATTATCAAATAATCTGGACTCCTTGACAAACAATTACAGATTTTCTAAGTGACAAAAAGTTTTAACCAATCGCAGATTTAAATAATTTTCTATTCTTTGGGATTATTTGTATCAATTTAACACTTATTGCACAATATGTAAACAAATTACAGTAAGTTAAAGCATACGGTTATAACAACTATTGAGAAATTTGAGTTTTTTTTATATCAATACGTTCTTCAGTCCAAAGCAAGAACAACATTTCACTGACATATCGTCGTTCTTCTACTATGTTACGTGCACTAATGTGCAGAACGGAAAAACGTATATCAGACCAGCAGAATGACATTAGTACCTATGTTTGCATGTGGGTTATGATTTTACATTTGGAAAATAAAATGAGTATAGAATTTAAAATCAACAACAACATTGGCAAGAAAGATGTATCGTAAAGAGCCACTCTTCTATTTTTATTTTCATTTTTGTTATTCTTCTAGAAAGAGAAAAAACAAACACTTATTGTCAACTTGAATACCTTGTACGTACATATCTACGCCAGTAACAATACTACCCCACTACTTGGTTGTTGAAAGCTGCACACGACGGAAGGGGAAAAGAGAGATGCGCTACGAGGGTGTACAGGAGCATTTTGTTATGTGGGTTAACAGCATTTGAGAAAGTCGTAAAAAGAATCCGCAGACTCGTATGGCAGCGGACCTGACCTTCCGGTGATCTCTGCTTCCTGCAGCCCTGCCCAGCCATTTCGACCCCACCTCATCCCCTAGACGTGGTGGTACGTGGACAGTACCTTACATGTCGGTATGTGCAGTAGTCCAGTCGTTGGTACGAGAACTGTATACGAGCGATGCGACCATTGGAGCGGACAAACGAGGGAATCGTTGGCCACTGATGCCTTGGTGACGTCCACACGCGTTACAGCCCCAATGTGTGGTCGCCATGCACGGCCGATCGTATACATGTATACCAGAGAAGCCCACATTTCTAAGTTTTTGAATTGTTGACATTTTTGTTTCTGGTTTATCAATCAACTAAAACTCGTTCTAGACTTTATAAATAGTAAATAGTAGCTCATTCATATGATGTCTATCAAAATGTGCGAAATTGGGGTTTAGCAAGACAAAGCTATTATTATTAAACCGTCTATACCAATGCATAGCCCAATGGCAAAGTCTATTCATACAAAATTAAATTTTCAAGTCATGTAAGTGTGCCATTTAAAAACTCGAGACTGTGCCATTTTAGACTTTTTACGAATTAAATTAATCAGTTTCATGGTATTCGAAAAATAAGTACACATTACATTCATCCACAGAAATACGGATCAGCTCAAAGTATGAGTATCCTAACGTCGAATGATAATAAATGTAGTTCCGAATTAGTTCTTCTCCCCGTGCCATTTCTGGCACCCGAAAAATTTTTACGTGTTACCCATGACGCTGCACCATAATATGTAGATTTGGTCCGAATATTTGGATTGATGCAAAGGGCAAGCCGATCGCCCGCCACCTCGTATACAGTATACCTGGAAAACCATGAGGGGATGAGGAGTCACGAGCACCAACATGCCCCAAGCAACTGAACTCGTGTGGGCCATCCACCCACACCCACACACACGCAATCTTTGAGCAAAGGGTGGACCTGCAAGTGCGGGGGAAGGGGTGGCGTGGCAGCGGCGACGGCGGGCATGCGCCTCCAGTGGTAGCAGCGCCGGTGACGCGGTCGGGGCCCCCCTCATTCTCTCGTGCTACGCCGCACCGCGAGTACATTGCACTCGGGAAGTTGGTGCGCGCCTCGAACGACGTTTGCTCCGATATGTAGGCAATGGGCCCAGTTGTTGAGAAAACTCCGTCTCTCCGACATCGCGTCTACCAAAACGTAAACAATAGCACCACGTGTGGCGAGCAAATTGTGTTGTTCTTGCCCGATGGGGTGCTACGCATTTCGGAGCAGTGGGTGTTTGAGTAATAGTGAAGTTACGATCAACGTGGGCCAACTACTGACCGCAAAATCGGCAAATTACTTTTATTAACAACAGTTGGTACCTTTGACGACGCTGACGTGCCAGTGACTTGGTGTTGTCGTAATTACCAATTTCGGTGAGGCTGCATGTACACATAACGACTCTTGTGGTGTGAGATGGAGTCACCAACTCCTCCTAGGTAGCTTCCACGGTTGGATTCCACAGTGGCGTACGTTATTTATATACAAATCTCAAATTGCTTAGAACAATAGCCACAACAAATGCTTGACATTTGAGGAAATAGTAAAGAGTGTAAACATGGCTCAGTCAAAGGGTAACAGTGACAATAGCAATAGAGCCGTGTCTCGCTCTGACTGTTCGCTGGCGCTTACTTTGATGGCTCTCCTGCTCCTCATAACGGGTAAGTGTTACTTTCATCACTCCTCCCGCCAAGTGCATTGTTGAATGGGTTTCGCGTTTCATTCACTGCCCCCCCCCCCCCCCCCCGACACGTATTCCTCGACTGGGCAGTTGCAACTTTAGTGTAGCGAAGACATTGCGTTAGTGGTACCTGCAACGTCATCTCCGTCTTTGTCGCCGGTGTTGCTGCTGTTGTTGCTGTGGACCACGTGCATTAATTGGAAAGACGATACGACTTGCGACCGCGAGAATGAATTTACGGGCCGGCTGGGTAATCTCTCGGGCTTCTCGTTCGCAAGTTTAATTGAGAATAGCGAGGCGAGCACCTCCTCACGGCTGTGGTTCTCGGACGTAATTGTCGAGGCAAGTCGTAACGACCGCGAGGGACAAGGGAGAGACGCGTTCCGCATAATGCACCTGACGACTGACAACAACTTGCTCAAGTAGAAGCCTATACTATACACCAAGACTCCGCCAAGTTGTTCATTTGAGGAGTTGCAAGTTGTTGACGCAGCCGTAGATGTACATCCTAAATTGTGGCCTACATACATACTTATTAGTAGCTTAAATGTTGGGTGTTTGCTAGCGAAGTAAAGGAGTATTTAGCCACGGTGTGGTATTTCTCTTTCCTCCCAACTCTTGTGTTGATCCTTCAAAGTGAGCCACAAATGAATCAAATAATCAGTAAATCATCTGTACGAGGTGTTTGTATAGTCTTTGCGATAATCAGCTATCAAAGTACAGTATTTTTAGTTTTTCGTGAGGAGATACATTAAACTTTAATATTGAATAAAAAAACGTGCTAAATTTACTGTGAGCTCATATATTTATCGTTTATAGCTAGTGTCTCGTGGACGAAGGTTCCGTTTTTATATTACGTAATTTTAAAGAAGAAAGTTATAAGAAAAGGGGCACTAACGACTAAAAAAAGGAGAAGGGAGGGAGAGGTTTTTTTTTGTATCCGTGTTAAATAAAAAGCAAATGAAATACTACTACCGTGTGGATAAGAGAAGAGCCTGTGTAAAAGACTGATTGAGAAACGTAGAAGGTGAGGGAGAATGAGAAGAAAAAGATGAATACCTTTGGTATGGTTTCAGAATTTAACAGAATCAAATGAGGATATAAAAGCACCAGATATATGTATTACACGACTGTGAGAGTGCGACAATGAGAAAAAGATTGTGAATTGTTTACCAACTTTGATGATTCATATCAGCCCTTGAAGAGTTTTGCGTGTACACGATTTTTTCAGTTATCCTTACCACCCGTTTGAAAAGTAAGAAATTTGATGCATGGATATATTTTTTTTTTACCTTGTGGGCTTTGATGATAATTCAGAGTGTAAATTACTTAAATACTAATTACGAGATCTCTTTTATTGTGTTGTCTCATTTTATTAGCGTCTCTTTAGTGATTCATTAATAAAAATAACGTTAGTTAACTTTTATTTCTTCTCGAAAAATACCTCAGCCTGAACTTACTGAGTTCAAAGATCTATTTTGTTATTTTGTGGTTCCTACATTAAAGAATTAGAGATATTTACATGAGATGTAAAAGTGATCTCTGATGTTTACCTTTTCAAAATCGATTTTTTTTTTCTTCCTTTTTTTTATAATACTGAGACTTTCAATACATATTTAGAAATAGATTCAACGAGAAAAAATTTATGACTTAAAGAACAATGAATTCCATTTACTTGATTTACTTAGGATTGCTACACTTCAATTTGAGGGGTAAAATAGTAACTTTTTAAAAATAAAAATTTTTTAAAAATCAGGAAAATTATAAAAAAAAAATTAAAAAAACATTCCTTGATACAGATTACATAAGTTATCCAAACATACTTATTTAGTTGAAAATATTTTCACGTTTAGACTACTTCAAATATAAACAGTTTAGGATTGTAAACTTTAGGGGTTATTTTCACCCCTTCAAAGTATATACCAAAGCATGAATAATATACATACCTTTAATTTTTTTTGTATACTACTGAATACCCAAAGATGAAATTCATGAAAAAGTAATAAATATTTTTAAAAAATACACGTACCGAATAGAGAGAAAGAGGAGGTTTGTATGAACTAAATTTAGAGAAGTGTAATATTATTTTATAATATGTAAATGATTTGATTACATTCCTTTCAAGCCTGGGTGACAAGCCCAACGAGCAATTTCGGCCTTTGCTGAAAAGAGAAAGAACGTAGGAGGCTCCCACAGTTTTCAGTGCGGCTCATTTTAATTGCACCCCTTCCTGGTACATCTACATACTGCCCAGAGTAACCCTTTCTCTGGATCCCCATCTCTTTTGAACCTACCCTTGATTACAAGCTCAAGGTGTGGACGAACAAATTCATTTGGATTCGTCCCTCCTCGACTTCTTCCGTCTCTCGGCGGCTACCCCAACAACCCTCGAACGGAGGATAGCCGAGATGAGCTGTCGGAAGGTACCATTTTCCAATTTCCTCGGCGCTTCTATTAGAGTGCATTCGTACTTTTGCATACAAATACGCTTAACTGCAGGCTGTTGTTGGGGAGGAAAAAAAAAAACAACTAAAGGTCCCCGGACTCGTTTTCTCGTTGCTGCTACCACTGGTGCTGCTTATGATTATGCATCACGCTGTTTCTAGGGTGATTTAAATTTTTTTTTTCTCAAGAGAGAGATAGAGAATGTATCCAACTTCTTTCCTGCAGTAGCTGCTCCACATAAAAATTACGCAATTGTGCTCGGTGCAAGAAAGCCACTCGAAATACCGTACTCTGGTAATCCTACCTGCATACCCCTTCTTTTCCTTATCGCTAAAGCCAATTTAACTTTGCATAAATACTTTTTTCTCTCACGTACACCTAAAAGACTAAGAATTTTTTATCCAAATCTCAAGCGAACAAGATAAATAAGAAAAAATATTTTTAAAAGCGAATATTATTATTTTATGTCAATTAGTTTTATAAATCTTTCAAAATAAATAGCCATGAACATTGAATTCATTTTACTCCCCAGAAATAAAAATTTTTTTTCTAAATAAAGGTAGCCAAGTTTCAAGGAAATCTAGAAACACATCTGGAAAAAAAAAAACTATGTTACAATCATTACGAAAAACAGAAATAACAATAGTGGTGGACGTTATCTCTTTCTATTGACACCACTTAAATCAACCCTGGAAGTGTCCAATTTTCAATTAACTGATTCTTGAAAAGAAACAAAGTCTTAATACCTGTTTTTTTTTTTACCGTGTTATCGAATTTTAATGTAAGAAATGTGTTCTCATAATAACATCGTAGCTCTTTTTAAAAATATTCAAAATCGAGTCTCCTGCATCGTAAGGTGTACGAAAAAAACATATATATATATATATATATATTGTATACATAAATCGTGCGCCAGATATATCCTGGTGTTACCTGGGATTCAAGCAACCTTGCTTGCGAACGTATTATACTTATGGCCTCCTGTATTCGACCTCGTTTTCATGCATCAGTATAGCTGCAGCAATGGTCCCTATTCCGCGTACGCGCAAACAACCTCCAGTGTGTGCACCAACCAGATAATTAAATTAAGCTTGTATCTATACTCGTACCCCCCCCCCCTCTCAACCCTGTAAATTCCCATCCCTAATTTCGATCTCTTCTCCGTTTGTGCTCTAGTTATACATCAAAGTCATTTAGAGTCGAACAATGAGTCAATCGCTTGTGGCTACAACGATATGCCCTCAGATCGTCTCTCTATAGCAATAATAATGAACAGAAAATTACTACAGCGATGGCCATTGTTACAGGTACTATACGTACATAGCCGTATGAGCCCCAGAATCGTTATTACATGTTACCCGATAACTAACTGCAACTAGAGCTCAACTTGTTACGTGGATCAAGCTTTTACCATTGTGTTGGTTATACAATTCGCATCGCACTACCTTATTGTGCTTAAATATGAGGGAGCTAAATTGTCAAGTTGTCCATTGATTTTATCAATTTCTCTCTCTATCTCTATCTTGCACAACTTTTGTGGTTTTATTCTTTCATGAATAGGTCTGTATATTTATACAGCTTTCAATGAAAATCAGCTTTGAAAATCAGCTATGGCCCAACTCGTTATCTTATTCCTTACAATCCTCCTTACAATAGATAAATAGCGTAAATACTGTGAGTAAACCTTAGTAACAGGTAACCGGCATCACAGCTATTCCACAAGAGAGGAAGAGATAATCTCATGAGTCTAACAAGTAACTACGTATACGTAAAAAGTGGAAGTATGAAAAATAAGACGACATCGGTGTATGATTAGTGCATAAAAAAGCACCTTAATCCTACCAACCCTTTGGTGCCATTTTTCAAGAATAAATTTGAAGGAATTAGAGACCACAAGCGAGAAATTCAAGGAAAAACACCGTTACGTTATAAATGTGGTGGCTAGAAGTTTACTTGCACAACAACAAAAACAAGCTTATCCATTTTCGTTTTTTTATTCGTTATTGTTAAATACAAGATCATGAAAACAAAGCTAAGCCTTATTTTTTAATCAAGGATAACAGTGGCCATGGTAATCAACCATCTCAACCAATTCCCGCGTATGCAACACCTACGAAACACCCAAGTCATAGGTTGTCGCTTTCGAACAACCATCAGCAAAAAACTTTATGATTTTCGACCCGTACTTCATCTCACCCATCGACACCCCATCATATATAGATTCGTTGTGTTGATAAACCAAAACTACGTCGTCTACGTACTTGAAATTCCGTTTCATTATTGGCCAGCCACCTCCGATGTACTCCCCATCGCAAGCGCAGCATGTACATTTCGAGGCGTGCTCTGCTATCCCCGTTCCTCGAAAGTTTAACTCACTGATTTCTCTCTTTGGTGCGGGTAACGTGTGTACGTGTATTGAAAGAAACGGGCGCAGCGGGGAGCCGACAATGAGCGGTTGTTTTCTCGCTTAGGCGCGTTCACTCGTGACTTGAAACCGAAGGGGGGGTACTGCGTCTCGCCGATGGCCACCACCAC